GATGTCACCAAATGTCTCCTTACCATCCCAAGGACCCTAACCAATCAGGCGTTCTGCACCTGCCTACGTGGCCGGCTGGCTTTAAGGAACTGTTATGGATTTCATTGACTGATGAAGCCAGGTTTAGGTTTGACCGCCCTACCTAAATCTTTCCATGCCTGATCCTATGTTAGCTGACTAACGTGGCACGTCGACGAAGGAGATGGATAGTGATGCATGCGTAACACTTGTCCTAACTATCTCAGTCAGTGTAACTTCACAACCTAGTCGATCAATGTCCCCTCCTTACCTATTACTCAATCGATGCCTAACCTCTATTCTGCCCACCGTGTTTTACCACTTCACAAGGGAGATAGAACTCAGAAATCTATAATCAAAGGCAGCTAGCCAGTTTTTTCATATCTTCCACTTTCAATGGCCATGACTTACAGCCGTTAGGAAGACAGAGTGAATTGTTGGAGAGTACACACGCCCTTTGGCTGCCAGCCAACCGGATATTACGTCTACGCCAGAGATGGAGTTGGTCGGTATATGCTTGACAAACACTCTGTATCTGTAATGAAATTATGTCAGCGATCCACCTGTTGGGGCTGATGAATGTTAACTAATTCAATTCCTGAGGTCTATATAATTGAGATTCTTTTGAACAGACTGCCATGGTTTTTAAATATGTCACGATAATTGATGATTTTTGATAAAAGATTCTTCACATAAATTTGCTTACTTGTATTCAGGGAGATGTATTGTACATAACATTATAAAGCATACAAATGACTGAGTTTCAGTCACAATTCTAATCAACTAATGGCTAGTGAATACACTATAAAAAATCAGTTAGAATATAGTGAGAAATTATGTCCAAGATATTAGTGAGTAGTGATAATAATTACTATAACTAATACAAATAACATCTTCGATTACTCTAACGGGTCGATACACTCAGTAATATCTATATGATTATTATTATTTCCTTTAATTCATAGAGGAACATAGGGCTTCAGTCGTGCGTCTCCATTGCGTTCGGTTCTCTCCTAGAGTCTTCACCTGGCTCCAAGTCTGTTCACACGTTTTCATCTCCTCTTCACGTGACCTCCTCCAAGTCACCCTGGCACTGACGACCAACTCGCCGCTTCCCGTTCAGTCGGGTTCCACTCGAGCAATGGCTTGTCTAGTGATGTCACTTGATGGTTTGTTTCCTCAGAGTATGGCCAATCTATCTCCATTTCTTCCTGCTTATTTGTTTCACAATCGGTTCCTGCTCGCTTGGTTCGCTCATTGCCAGAGATCTCTGTTGCTGATCTTTTCTGGCCGGCCATCTGATCTTGACTGGTAATGAGCGAAGACAACTGTTAATGGAGGTCTCTGGTTTGTTTGAGGTGCTCTTTATGACACGCAGTGCAAGTCTCTGATCCGTATAGTGAGTAGCGCTGACTGACTTCACAATGGAGTTGAAAATCCGGATGTTATTTTTGATGCTGAGTGCTGTTGACCTACACACAGACTTAGGAGTAGTGGAAGATTGTCTGGCTTTTCCGATTCTTGCTTTGATATCCTCATCAGTTCCGTGCGCCTGTAGTTGAAACGATGCTTCCCAGGTAGGTAAAAGAGGTTGTTCCTCTCAGATTCCTCGCATTTATGCTGATTGTTGTCTGTTGTTGTTGCTGTCGCTATTGCTGTTGGCCAGGAATCTTCATTAACTCTGTTTTCTCTATGTTCACCTGAAGTCCTATCTCCTCTGGATGCTTCTTCTGCCAACTTGTTGCTTTTCGCTTGCATATCTTCCAGTTTGTGGGAAATCAGACATATATCATCGGCGAAGTCCAGATCCTCCAAATATTTTGTGTGAATATCTATATAGTATCAGCGAAATATGACAGAAATCTTTTATAAAGTGAACAGAGGCATAAGTTGTGAAAACTGGGAGAAAACGAGGCAGTGGGATAAGAGAACCGAAACGAGATCATTAGAAATACCTAGAAAAGTGTTTCAAATACAAAGAATTCAAATCTAAATTATTGATATGCTTGTGAACTATAAGACACTTTTCCGAAAATCTCAGCAATTTCACTTATTTTTCAAAGGCGAAATTTTAGATACTTAAACACTTAGCTGTGTCTTGATGGTTCCCTGTTGGTATGCCCACCATTCAAGATAACGATACGATTTCAATTCCATGTCGATACACTCCTGAACCTCGTCAAGTTTATCAGTCGCTAGTCGACATGGGAAAGACGGAATAGCCACCCCTCTCAATGGAGAAATTCGATACTACTACTGCTGAAACTTCAAAGGTCACAGTCCTATGTTCCACTCACATCACAAAGAATACACGAAGATGTTCAGCTAATCAACAATCCCCTCGGTTAACAATCAGTTTCCTATCTCATCTTATCTGCTATCAAAAGCAGTTCTAATGAGAATTAACAGCGATGTAACTGAATCGTGTTCAAACATATACACTGAACAGGTTTGTGAGCGAGTGTGTGTGTGTGTAAAAATGAAATGCACAACAGGAACAAATAACCGCATCATGACATGATCACTGATGTTACATTTCATTAAATGAAAGTGCAAACAACCCTTAGACCTGTAAAAGTAAGTAATTGTCAAATGTAACCTAATTTTATGTCCACAATAATGTGAGCACACAAAAGTGATGTCAATACTTCACTGAAGTAGAACAAAACTGTCCACTGTTGCTTATTTTTAAATAGATCCCTCCACCTGATGTCAATTTATTGAGGGTAATGCAATTAAACATATCGCTTATCAGATGAACCCTTTAAGACAAAACACTAGATGACTTTATGCTGGTAATTTCCAACGTCTTTGCACCAATTCCCTCAGAAGTGACAGATAAATAGCCAATTGGTCTCTGAATAAAATATTTGTCATAATCATTCGATAAGCTACCACGTGAACAGCCTTTATCAGGATCCTATTTTTTTCAATCTTTCGCGTTACAAGTAGAACAGAAGACCTGAAGCCTTGAGGCTTCAGAAGTGGCTGCGTTGTTTTTCTCAACTGGTCATGGTCGTCAAGTTCACGTCCATGGTCTCCTCTTCTCCTAATTTATTACCGTCTAGGTGATGTTTAGGAGTGAGTCGGCCTGGAATTGATCCTGGGACAGCACATCTGGTTGCGGAACACTCTAACACTGATGCACCCAGGATAACTCGTACTACTTCAAAATTATATGACTGAGGAAAGCCTTGTCTGAAGTCAAAACAAACATTCAAATGTTGACAGAGCCTAGAGCAGAAGTCTTCATTCAGACATCTAACTTATCTATCTAACAGCCACATTGTCAGACAGTGGGTACTCGCATATTAGTTTATTTGTTAGATATATCACACAGTGATGAAACAGTATTATTTACAGGATAGAAAAGTTTCGAGCACAATTTCTTGTGGTTCAGAATCATATGAATTCTAACTACACAACTTTGAAACTTTCGTTTTATAGTTTCCCCTGTTCGTTGTGAGGGTAGTAGAATTTTCCAGATATCTGGGTGGACAGGTATTGAACCATTCCTGTTGCACGTACTTTCAGTTGGTTCGAGAAAGAAAGCTTCTGTTATCAATCTCTCCCTCCACCCTATTGTTACATTAGATTTTAGAGCTGTCATCTTATCTCATGACACACAACCATACAATAAGATGGGATAAGATGACAGTTTTAAAATCTAATGTAACAGCAGGGTGGAGGGAGAGGTTGGTAAGAGAAGCTTTGTTTACCGAATCAATTACAAATACGTGTAGCAGGAATGATGACACACCTATCCCAGATATCTGGAAAATTCTACTACCCCAACGACGACAAACAAGAGAGGACAAAGAAAACTATAAAACTCAAGTTTCGAAGTCGTGTGGTTATAATTGATGGAATGATTATGAACAATAAATTTTGTTCAAAACTGTGTCATCCAGTAAATAATACTGTTTCACTCACTGTGTGATACATCTAATAAACAAACTAATATACAATTAAAAGGCAGAAGACAAGTTGTTCAGCGAAGAGTCTCTTTTCGGCAGTGAATTCATTTTCATAGCTGTACAATCGCAAATATATATATATGGTTGTTTTGTATGTGTGTGTACATTAAATTTGTCAAATGAAAATACAATTAGTAAGTTCAGATGTATCGGAAGTTGATATAAGAGGGTAATAGCAAAAGTGATGAGTTGTCACAAAGCATTGTTAAATAAGAGTTACGTAATAATGTGAATAGTTTGATGAAAGAGTTGTACTCAGGGTGGACATGGAAAAAAAATAACATTCGGAATTAAGCAAGGGTTTTAAGTAGTTAGAAAAATAAGCATACAATCAAGAGTTAAGTCGAATCAAGCAGAACAAACAAAAGTTAAGTCAAATCAATGGCGTTGTCGCCATGAGAGTAGAAGTGGTTGAATAATTTTTTCTGTATGCACAGTTCTGGTTCTTCCCACTGAATGACTAGAGCTTCTGCAATGCAAAGAAGACGGAAACGTATTGTTTTTGGTAGGTTGTTCTTCACTTTGTAGATTACTTTGAGGGAGGCGTTTGTTGAGATCGAATGACCAGTGTTGACGAGATGTTCGATTATCGCACTCCCTATACGGCCACTAATTCCTTTCTGCAGCCACGCTGGATAGTGTTCTTTGACGCTTTTTGACAGGATGTGCGTTGAACGACCGATGTACCTGGCTTCACAGCAACAGATGAACTGATATATACACATAGAAGTGGTCAATATAGAATTACTTACTACCATAGTGCCCAAGTTTTACACATATATATTAGTAGGTAGTCCCAGCAGCTCAAATGAAAGTGGGCCACAGTGATTTCAATTTCATCATCATCTACTCTTGCATTTCAGTATTATTTTAAGATTTCTGTTTTTTTAACGATCATCTTTTGTACTTATTCAACATGTGTCATGTTTCACTGAATTACTATTGTAAGGGTTCAAGTTCAAGGTATCGAATTTCTTTGCTTATTTTCTCTCTCTCTCTCTTTAGAAGTCGTCGAAAACAAAGAAAGACAGAAAGATGATTGAACACACCAACGAAGATTATGTTAGCCTGGTTGAATATAATGCAGTGAAGTCTTCATTACAAGTAAGTAATAATTTATTAACTAATTATATAATTTATGCTCGCTTTCCAAGAAAAATACGTTAGTGGTTAACATGAATTGCATAGTCGTTCTTCATGTTGATCACGTTCGCTGGAGACATATCCCATGAGGAATGACACTTCAGAGCTGCTACACTCTAGTCCATACTTCTGTAACAAAATCAACCTACTTTACGTATGGAACTCAAAATAGTAACATTTGAATAATCAGATTTAGCGTATTTGTTCACACAACAGTGGTTACCATGGTTTTTATAAGTTCGTTTTGCTATTATACAGGGATACGTTGTTTAATCTAGCTTCGGAGACTACTTATGGGCTTTGTACTGTAAAAGGCTGATATAGCATTCACGAAATTACGTCATTTCTGGTGTAGACTTGATATCCCGCCGTCAATGAAAAGACATGTGTACTGCACACCAATTCGCTCTGTCTTTATTTACAACTGTGAGATATGTTCACTTAACGTGGAAGACTTGAAGAGGCTAGCTGTCTTTGACCATTTGTGTTTGCGTTCTGTCACCTGTTTTAATTGGTACAATACGGTGAATCATATTCCGTTTAGGCGTAGAATGTTAGATAGTGAAGAGAAGTCAATCTATGTTATTGTGGTGCTACATCAATTAAAATGGTAAGGTTCACATGGTAGACATAACGAAACACTGTCTTTCTTGACGAGCAGTTTTAGGTGACATCGAATTAATATGAAAAAGAGTTACGGTTGGTCAAATCAGTTATAGGATTCAGTACATGAAGTCTTCGATAGATGGTTTAAGCCAGCCACACAGGGAGTTGTGGACTCTCTAGTTGGTTGGCGTCCGTGGGGTGCTAAAAACCATTGGCTAGAGACAATCGCTGATATGTTATATATATCCAAACCAAGTTGAGTTTTAACAAGTTTTAACAATAAATTTTATTCGAAACTTCATCCAGTAAATGATACTGTTTCACTGTGTAATATATCTAGTAAACAAACTAATATGGAATTACTTGCTACCACAGTGCCCAAGTTTTACAGATATATTAATTTGAGTTTTAACAGTTCCAAAAAATTTGGGCAATGGATATATTATATTCACTATAACAAAGGTTTTTGTGTAATTACGACTGAATGGAAAACAAAACGGAATGTGATGCGATATAAACCGGAAAAACATCCTGAGAAATCAAGGTAATCAGAAGAAATGAACACCACAGTGCCGCCTCTGTTCGACCAACAAGAAATCCAGTGGACTTAGAAAAGCTTCAATAATCATCAGCCATAGGTCGTCTACACGCGAAACTGTAAAATCAGGTCACAAAATTGATTTTGACAATATTGAAATCATTATCCAGAACAATTTCAGAAATCACAAAGAACGTCTGATATCACCAGAAGCACTTCATACCGAATGGAATCGAAATTGTTCGAGTAGGAATGATAAACTTAAGCGGAATTCGACCTGGTTACAGCACCCTGTTTCCCCCATGGAATGATAAAATCAACACGAATGTAATAGGCGATTTCATTTTGTAAACGCATGTTGCTTTTATAATTTTATATGCTTATCAAATCCAACTGTCTACACTTGGTTTTGTTAACCTTACCGACTGGCTAATTTGGCAACGCAAAAGTAACCTCCTGTTGAAGAATGATGACTAAGTTTTTATATATAAGCTGAGATTTTATAAATTCTGGTTTAAGTAATAATACTCTGATAAAGCTATTAGCAGCTGCACCAAATAGCAAAACGTCAGTAAAAACGAAACTATCTTTTTGCTTTCATTTTATTCATTAGAAAATACAAAAAACACCTTTTTTATAATGAATTGCCGATATAGTATAAAATCGTTCTGATTGACGCAAATGTATTCACCTTCTATGAAGTCGCAGACTCGTTAAATCCTCATGATTCTCCGCATAAATATTCTTTCCCAAGCACTTTTTGCTTACTACAGTTCTTGTAAATTTCCTCCCTCGCAACACTCTACCAAACAACTAGGTGCCTATCGGGCGAAAGTTTGACACAAATCAAGCCGGTGAAAGTTGACAACGGAAAGTCGCTCACCAAAGAAGTGGAGCAAAGGAAACACTGGGCTGAACACTTCAAAAGACTCCTAAATTGAGCACCACCTACTACGCGCCCAACAATACCAACGACGGAGACAGAGCTACTAGTGAACACCAACCCCCCGACGAAATCAGAAGTCCTGAAGCCAATCAAGATGCTAAAAGCTGGAAAAGCAGCAAGACCAGATGGAATCCCAGCAGACGCGTTGAAAATAGACCCAGAGACAAAAAGCGGACTTGATGACGCCACTACTGGAGAAAGTGTGGAAAGAAGGCAAATACCCGAGGATTGGAAGAAAGGATACTTATTCAACCTACCGAAGAAAGGAGACTTAAGTCAATGCAAGAACTGGCGCAGAATTATGCTCCTGTCCATCCCAAGCAAAATACTAAGCCGCATAATCCTGGAGAGAATCAAACATGCCCTAGATGAAAAACTTCGACCGGAACAGCCTGGATTCAGGAGAAACAAGTCATGTATTGATCAGATCTCTTCATTACTGATCATCATTGATCAAAGCTTGGAATGGCAGTCACCTCTCTATCTTAACTTCATCGACTTTGAAAAGGCCTTTGACAGCGTCGATCGAGAGGTGATTTGGCAACTACTTCGCTACTACGGGGTGCCAACGACAATAATACATCTCATCCAACAGCTGTACGACAATGCTGCATGCCAAGTATTCCACAACGGGAAGCTCACGGAATCCTTCAAAGTGAGGACAGTAGTAAGACAAGCTGGCTGCCTACTGTCGCCAATGATTTTCCTGATTGCAGTAGACTGGATAATGCGACAAACAGTGGGCAATGAGGAAACAGGCATAAAATGGACTCACACAAAGAACTTGGAGGATCTAGACTTCGCCGATGATATATGTCTGATCTCCCACAAACTGGAAGATATGTGAGCGATGAGCAAAAAGTTAGCAGAAGAAGCATCCAGAGAAGATAGGACTTTACTTCAGGTGAACATTAAGGAAACAGAGGTGATGAAGATTCCTGGTCAACAACACCAACAGCAACAATAACAGCAGACTATAATCAGCATAAATGGGAGGAACCTGAAAGAAACAACCTCCTTTACCTACATTGGAAGCATCGTTTCAACTACAGGCGGAACTGACGGGGATATCAAAGCAGCGAGGATCGGAAAAGCAAGATAAGCTTTCACTACTCTCAAGTCTGTGTGGTAGTCAGCAACACTCAGCATCAAAACGAAGATAAGATCCGGATTTTCAACTGCAATGTGAAGTCAGTGCTACTCACTATACGGATCAGAGACTTGCATTGCGCGTCATAAAGAGCATCTGAAACAAACTACAGACCTTGATTAACAGCTGTCTTCGCTCAATACCACTCAAGATCAGATGGCCAGAAATGAATAGCAACAGAGATCTCTGGGAGCGAACCAACCCAGCAGGAACCGATTGTGAAACAAATATGCAGGATGAAATGGAGATGGATTGGCTGACCATACTCTCAGGAAACCATCAAGTGACATCACTAGACAAGCCATCGCTCGAGTGGGACCCGAAAGGGAAGCGGCGAGTTGGTCGTCAGTGCGAGGGTGACTTGGAGGAGGTCATGTGAAGAGGAGATGAAAACGTGTGGGCAAACGTGGAGCCAGGTGAAGACTCTAGCAGAGAACCGATCTTAATGGAGACGCACGGCTGAAGCCCTATGTTCCTCTAAGAATTAAAGGATACAATAATAATAATAACTTTATTTGCTACATGGAATGTGGCGACTACTGAACTACTGCACCATTGTGCAACGTCCTGAGTTAAAACGCATTCAGTCAGATATTGAACAATAAGAATATAACATAAGAATATAAACCAGCACACATACTCTCAGTCCCTGCGTTAATACCAATGAAATGACTGTTGCATTCCATAGTTGTTTCAGGGTATTAATTCAGTTTATTCCTCATATCAGTCACATTATTAACCTGAAAACAAACATACGTCAAAATTTAATGCATAACACCATAAATCTCTTCAGGCTTCGCGCAAATGCATTACTGAACAGTGAAGACACAATAGGATACAAATGTTCTTGGTAATACGAATACATAGCGATCAAAGCATATCAAGTCAGTTCATAAAATGATAGTCTAACCATTATATCATGACTGATCATTAAAAACTTATTCGTCATTGCATTATTATTGTTCCCTTGGGTTCTGAGCGGAACATAGGGCTTCAGCAACACATATCCACTTTCTTCTATTTTCTGCTCGCCTCTTCAGCTGGCTAGCTCTACGACTGCCCATAATCTTGCATCTACTCCAACTCTCACGATCTCCTCCATGTCACCCTCTCACTGACCATCCGCTCGTTGCTTCCCATTAAACTTTTACTCGCAGGCAGTGTCATTCAACGGTCTCCTCAACGTACGCCCGATCAGTCCATCTCCATTTTCTTCTACCTATGTGTTGCGCAATCGGCTGCTGCTTATTGGTTGCTTGTCAGCCATCCAGCCAGAGTTTTTTCCTGCTAATTCTTTCTGGCTGGCTGACCGGCCATTTGATCTTCAGCATGGAGCCAGCCAGAGCAGTGGTCAGAGGTTGATAAATTCTGTAACTTCTTGGAAATCCTCTTCTTGACATGCTGGCAAAGTTCATGATCCATATAAAAGAAGTCACTGACTGATTTGACATTTGTGTTCTTGTTCTTTATGCTAACTGATTTAGTGTAGAAGACTTCCAAACTGGTTTCGGACTGGTTGATTATAGTGTATCTTACCTTGCCTTTCCGATTCTGGCTGGTTGGCTGCCTTCAATATCTTCATCCGTTCCGTGTGCCTGCGGTTGAAACTGTGCTTCCTGACCACATAAGTGAAGGTAGAAAGTAACCTCCTTCAAATGTCTTCTGTTGAAAATGGTTGACGCTGTTGCTGTCGGTGCGTGGTTATCTTCATCACCTACGTCTTCTTTATTTTTAGCTGAAATCTGTCCTCTCTTCACTGCCATCCCCTTCTGGAAAATTGTCGGTTTTCGCCTGCAATTCTTCGAGTTTTTATGTGCCATTAGACACAAAGCATCTATGAAATGCATATCTTCTGGAGTCTTCTTGTCGGTCAGTGCAGAGTTTTCCTGTGTCCACGCTCCCTGTGCACAGTCTTCCACATAATCCAGTCCACAACAATCAAGAATATCATCGCCAGTGATAGTGAGCAGGCAGCCTTGTCTCATTTCTTCCTATCTTCATGTAGAACGCCTGACTTAGTATTCCGTTGTAGATCACCTGACATGTGGCATTTTCATATACCCAGCTGTTGAATGAGGTAGATCAAGATTTGGGCACTGCATACCGTAGTGTTTAAGTAGTTTCCAAATTATTTCTCGGTCAATACTGTCTGTCGAAGGCCTCTTTGAAGTCGATAAACTTGAGGCGAAGTGAGGTTTGACTGCCATTCTATGCTTTTTTCTGTGATGATGATGTCTAGAGTTCTATTTTGATCAGAACATGATCTGTCTTACGTGAATCCAGCTTGTTCCGGTGGTTGATGGAGTTCTTCATCCAGAACATCTTTTATTCTCCTCAAAATGACGCGACTTAGCATTTTACTTTGAATTAACAAGAGAATGATTCCACGCCAGTCTTTGCAGAGGTCTGAGTCGTCCGAATTTCGAAGCTTAACAAAATAGCCAGCCTTTATTAAAATCAGTAGGTACTTTTCCTTTTTTCCAAACCTTTTGTAATAATTGTGTGAGCACATCTGCCTCGGTCTCTGGGTTCATTTTCAGTGCTTCGTGGACAATCCTATCTGGCCGTGCTGTCTTCCCGATCGGACTGTAGTAGCTTGATCGCATTCAGGATTTCTGTTTTCGTTGGAGGATTGGTGTCCACTGGAAGTCAGTTCTGTGCGTGCTGTTGTTGATATTTCTGGGAGAGTTACAAGTGATGGTCGATTCATGAGTCCTCTAAAGTGATTAATCCATTGTTTTATTTGCTGTAAATATTGCTCACCAATTTTCTCTGTCTATATTTACTGCTGTGATATATGGATATTGAAAGTGGAAGACTCGAAGAGACTGGCTGTCTTTGATCTTAGGTGTCTATCTTCTCTTTCCTGATCTAGGTACTTTAACAGAGTGAGTTATATTCAGGATATGCGTAGAGTGTTGGGTAAGCAAGGAAAGTAAATCAATGAGGTTGTGAAGCTAGACTAACTAAGATGTCTAGGACATGTGTTATACATGCGTGGACAGCGCCTTACACGAAAGGATTTTTTAGCTGACATAAGATTAAGTCGGAAGCGAGTTATTAGTGTTCAGACTAAAATTAGACATTCACCCAAGATTATTTCGACAGTTGATTTGAGCCAACCACTTAGGAAAGTGCAGGCTTCCTGGTTACGGTCCTCAGGTCTCTGATAACTATTGGCTGGAGACTATTGATGATATGAGTAAAAATCGTTCTCAAAGGTTCAGGTGAATTCACTCCTTGTAATCTACCATATCTACTGAACTCAAGTGTTTTCTATGCTGCTATTCTTTCCCTCTCACAGCTCTGATTATCATTGTTGTTTGAAATCTCTTTTTCGTCACTTTTTGTTTTCATTTGTGAGCGACACATAGTGTAGAAACTCGAACTTTTGCACTTCTGTGCAGAGTTCAACGCTGGAATCAGTCTGTAAGTCAGTTAGTCAGATTGTTGTAAACCCCTCGACGTAGTTTGACACTTGTCAGCAAGGCGTATATACAACCTCCTGAGGGACTTCTTTCCCAACGGCAGTTTAAGTCTGTGTCATCCGATGCTAGAGTCAGAGATATTACCATCGAGCAGAAATTATGCAATTGTAATGCCATAATAGACCATAACTAGATCGATAAGGCTGAAACAGGAATACTATTCATATATTTATCGACCTCATTTGCTTCATTCAATATGACTGACTTGTGACTGAAAGTACTGACGTGAGGCATGGTTGACTGAGCATGGGGAGACAGAATCATCGACTGGCTTAAACGACAAACATTAGACATCTTTTTATGGGTAAATTTTATTTTGATAGAGTCTCACAGTGTTATACAGTAATATTTACTGATGACGTTTCGAGCACAATTTATTGCTCATAATCATATCAAGGATGATTATGAGCAATAAATTGTGCTCGAAACGTCATCAGTAAATATTACTGTATAACACTGTGAGACTCTATCAAAATAAAATTTACCCATAATGGAATTACACTCTACCACAGTGCCCAAGTTTTATTCTTATATCAAAGACATCTTTTTACTCTAATGAATAAATTATGAGTTGTGTTAATTTCACTGTTTTGCCAACGGCAAGTGAGCATTCAACTCAATAGATAGTCAATTATTATTTTCATGAGTAGTCCGCATCCAGGTACTGACGGAAAGAATAAAACAAGTAGTTCAGCAATGCATTTCCGTTTGATTAATCATGTTGAACCGAAATTCTACGGGTGCCGTGTTCACATGGCAGACCCTATTACTCATGCTTCGACGATGTCCTAAGATTAAAGTGAAGTTATTCTGGCTTCTGGTGGCTAGCATTGAGATTCAAGATACACTTTCCTTTCTCCTTTATGATACTCGTCAGCTGGATATATCTGCAGTTGTCAGTGAGGAAGTAATGGTGTTCCCATTGTGACTCGAACCGTTGGCCTCCTCGTATTAAGAGCCAAAGTATTATCCATGGATCCTATGGCCTTTTGCATAATTCTTTGTTCCAAATAGGCAGAGATACTCATCCTGGATTCCACAGCTAGTCACCATCAACTCGAGTCTAATATTTTCATATTTCCTTGTGTATGACACTAAATATCTGTATACAGTAAGTGACATTACTGATAGGCGATAATAGTGTTCACAGAAGTGCCTAATGTAACTGAGCAGGTTTTATACATTTATTCCCTTTAATGAATTTAAATAAAGCAAGAACAACAGTGATTTGCGCAGAAGAAAATGGTACCATCATCGGTTATTTCGTCGGTATCTCATCAGCTGCTTACCTCCCAAAGAAGTCATTATTAAGTATATCTACAGAAAACTTTTTAGTATACTTTCACAGAGTTCATTTTTAAACAAAAAACAATCAGTCAGTCAATATAAGCACACAATAATAATATGCATGATAATAATAACAAACACTTTATCCCAAGCAACAATAATGATCATACACATTGCAAATTTCGACATTACGTAATCGGATGAAAGAGAGTATCATAATATCCAGTCGCCAGGGTAAAGAAAGACTGATAACCACTTCTTTCTGAACGTATAAATCGGGTTGCAGGTGCTTGATGGAGATTGCTACTTTGGCAAACTTAAGGAGAATTGAACTCTTTCGCCTATTGCTAATTTTGAGCGTTCTTGAGATGTACACCTCTGGGGGACCTTAGACTTACCGAGCTTAATATCCCGGATTCGAATAGAAATAAAAATTCAAAATCCGTAAAGTTACTGAAGGAATATATTTAAATTTGTTACTTGGGTTATTACAAGGTTCAAAATCCACAATTAACTTAACAGACTCCAAAAGTATTGTAAGAAGACTGCTCCAATCTTAATTCTCCAATGTTGATATTGCCAGAGGTCGACCAAGGTAATGTATGGAGAAATTACGGCGTCCCTGCGAAATTTTGCAATAGAAGATAGGTAACTAGAATTGGTCGATGGCTTTTGAGATGATGGCGAAGACGGAGAGTTGTAGGCAGAGCTATATTTTCATTCAAAACACGAGGTTAAGTTCAAAGTACAGAGATCCTGGTTAAAACAAAGTAATGTACAGTATGTTCATTTCTCACATAATAGTAAAAGATGGATAAGTTTATTTTTGAGGACTCCACACAACTCATGGCCCGTGTCAAGGAGATGCCTGGCGATGGCACTGTTTAAAGCATTTGTTCCCTTCAGTAGGTTTGTCGTTAACATGCGTCTCCAAGTTGACCTGCAAAATTTTATCAATATCTGCCTTCACTGGCTTAAAACTGAAGATTAGATGGCGAACCAATCATCAAGAAGAATTAGCATACAATAAGGAATTCCGGAAGCGAACAAACTAACATCCTATCACTCACTGGGTATGCCGGCAGAAATAGACATGAACTGAGAATACTACCGAATGACGTCATACGCTACTCAGGCCATTGAGTAGAACCAGAATAGGAGGTGATGAGTTATATGTGGGTCAGAGGGTGGGATGGAGGAGTTGATGTGAAGACAAGAAGAAATTTTATCGACAATCGGGCAGCCAGGTGAAAAATACCCGCGGAAAACAGAGTGACATAATTATGTGTCCTTTGTTCTACTTGGAACCCAAGGGACAATTATTTATATATAACATGGAAAACACTACGTAGATATTCTGGAGCTGGACACAGTGTCTGTCCTAAACGTAAAGTACTGCAAGGTTACCATGACGAGCACACAAATGTAGTTTATCTCTCTAACATCCTTCATTTATATTAGTAATGATAATATTATTATTAATAGTAAAACACCGGTTTGGTTTCTAATCTCTTTTCTTACAGACACGTATTAAGGAGCTTGAAAGTGTTTTAGAAGCCTACAAATCACTCAAATCCAAATCGACATGTGAAGTATCCACTAATACTGACTTAAAAACGTTTAACGATAAGAAAGTGGACGATTCATACGTCAAAGCTCTTGAGGTAAGTCTGTCTTTTGAATTCAAAACACATTCTCAGTTGTTTATATTTATGGATTTAACTGATTACAACAGTAAGTCTCATTGTGAACTGACATCAGTTGGAAAACAGCTAAACGATTAGTGAGTACAAGACATCTACTTCGCCCATGCCTAGGACTCTTCAGCACCGCACACCCGTGATTCTACCTGGGATCGAACCTTGGACTTTCACTTTATGAGGCGGTCAAATTACCACTCATGTGTATACTGACTAGTCCAAGTACTATTCCTATGAGAATCACTTTTTATGCCACCGTTTCAGCTGTTTGCTGAATATTTGCCGGCCTTCTTGAAAATTAGGCTACCGAGAACCTTTATCAATATACTGCATATAGTTTCCCTTATTCATTTTGTTTGAATCTAGTGAAATATGACCTCGAATAATGTTGTTTACTCTAGGAAGTATGTAAGACATTTAAAACCTGCTGACTCGCAAGATTCTACTAATAAGGTTGGGAAAAAGCATTATCCTCAATAGCAGCTTATCCCAGTCGATGAGATGGCCGTTCCTGAGTGGTGTTGTATCTTCATCAAAATATAATCCTGAACTTTTTATGACTGACATTCAACAAAATGTCGTAGTGTATTTCGCAAAGGAGAAAAAGGAGATATATCATAATGATGGAGTGATTGGTTTACCCTCCAGGTCAGACAGAACTGTATCAAACGATCCACAGTCAATTACCGTTTTATTTTGTTGGTGTGCGTGTGTTACCAGGGCAACGAAAGACTCATAACCGCTTCTTTCTGAACACATTAATAGGGTTTCAGACGTTTGGTAGAGATTACTTAGGTAAACTTGAGGAGAATTACACTCTTTTGCCTACCGATAATTTTGAACGATGTTACAACACCCACCTCATGGCCTGCGTCAACGAGATGCCTGGTAATGGCACTATTGTGGGCTTTTGTTCCCTTGAGACGTAGGTTTTTCGGTACATATTCTCCCAATGAATCTGCTGCTGCAGATACATGTACATTTGCATACACAGTCGGAGTTGTTAACATGAGAAGGGTATCTGTCAACTTTTGACTGCATCAAGGAGCATGTTATCCGATAAACCGGAACCAAATTAGCTGCACAATAGGCCTTGACTATTGAGGTGTTCCATCTCCTTTTGACTATTGAGGTAATATCAAAACCTTTCATTTCTAGTTGAATGAAGATAGATTGTTTTTCCCACTGTGATTTATCGCTCAATTTATTAGTTAATCATCATCTCCAACTCCAACATACAACTTATCCAAAGAATTATACAAAAAACTGAAACACCTAACGGAATCTTGTGATCACTCCATCAACTCTGCTGTCCAATTTCTAGAGAAAATCAAAGGCATCCAAATAGATGCAAAAGAAATGATGATATCCTTCGACGTCACAGCATTATATACCTCAATCGGACAAAACCCAGCAAATGAGACCATTGAACAATTACTCAGCAATGATGAACACCTCCCACAACAATCGAAAATGCCACACACGAGCTGGATGCAATGCATAAACCTATGCCTAACAACGTAATTCCAATTCAACGGCCAAATATATGAACAAGTCAAAAGAACAACGGTGGGATCGCCAATATCAGGTTTGATTGCAGAAGCAGTGATGCAAAGACTAGAAAACATAATCCTACCAAAGATCAAACCCAAAATTTTGATACTATACGTAGGCGACACATTTGTAATAATCAAAAGGAACGAGTTAGATAAAACTCACAACTTAATAAACAACGTCTTCAACGACATCAAATTCACAAGAGAAGAGGAGTCCGAGAAGAAAATCCCACTTTTGGACGTCTTAGCCAACCGAACCACCACAGGGGATTTAGAAACTCAAGTTTCTAGAAAATCAACTCACACAGACCAAATACTGAATTACAACAGCAACAATCTAATAACACACTAAAGGAGTTGTATAAAAACACTATTCAAGAGGGCCAGGACTCATTGCAGCACTCCCAATTAAAAAATTTGAAGATAGACATCTCACGGACGTCTTCCAAAAGAATGGATATCCACGGAATTTCATCAAAAGACATCTACCCCAAGCCAACCTACCAAATCAAAGGCCCACAAGGAAAGCGCTAAGAAAATCGGCCTACCATATATAAAGGATATATCAGAAATCACTGCAAGACTCGTCAAACCTTTATGAATTGACGTCGCACACAAACCGATAAAGTCACTTCACTCAATTCTAAGTCAACCAAAAGACTCAACAACGAAAGAAGATAAAACCAACATCATCTACAAAATAAATTGTATCAACTGCGAAAAACACTACACTGGCCAAAGTGGACGTCCCCTTCGTCTTCGTATCCACGATCATAAGCTAGCCGTCAAAAGACATGACATCCACTTCATCATTCATATCACTACATACAGACAACCATGGGCATCAATGCAACTGGTACAACGTTCAAATATTAGACAGAGGAGACAACAAGAATGCTAGAGAATTTTTAGAAGCTTGGTATTCCAGTGAATCATCAATCAATAGACACATCGAAAACGACAAAATTTACCAACCGATAAGAAAAAAACCTCACATACAAATGGTCAAAGTTCAAGTCAAGGAAACAATCAGTTCCAATACAAGTAGCCTAGAAGATGTGAAAACACACATAAACAACCAATCACGTCCAAGGTCACCGGGAGAGATGATTGATAAACTCGTAGAGAAATCTAAAAGCTCACTTCAATGAATTGAAGTATGCGCTGAAGATGTCGTCTAGTAGGGCGTTGAAAGCTTCGCAAGTTAACTATCCAGCTCAAAGAACACATCCATATCAAAAAACTCACTTCTTCATTTTATTAAGTATCTGCTTTACCATTGAATGAACTTTGAGTGAAAGTGTAATTTTCTGAACCCTGTTCATCAAGTTTGGAGTCTTCTATCAACTGACAATATGTCATCACATTTTCAAGTAGCTTAAAACTCTTCTGTACATAAACTCAATAATAATTTCTTTAGTCTGTACGCAGCTGATGAGAACCCGACGAAATAAATGTGATGGTACTATCTTATTCTTCACAGATTATCAGTTTTCTTCTGTTCAAAATCACATGAAGGGGGAATAAATGTATGATTTATGTTGTACTGCCATGTACGACAAGGAAAAAGAAGATAAGCGCTTTCATTATCTTTTATCATCTTTGAGGGGAACTGCTTATTTTGACTGATTCATTCAGCATTACATTACATCGACTTTTATTGATCTATCAATTTCTTTATTTCTAGATGCAAATTAAACAACAACTTGAAACTATCGTCGCTAAACAAGATGAGTTGAATCGATTGAAGCAACAGTTAACACCTCGAAGCAAATACCCCGTCAGTCGTGATCATTATAACTATACAAATACTGAACTTTTGTCTGCATTGAAAACGAATGAAGGTGATCATGAAATGCAGTAAGTCCACTATAGACTTTTACCACTCTAGATATTGATTTGTGAAACAGTATTATTTACTGGATAACGTTTCGAGCACAATTTATTAATTGTTCATAATCATGTCATCAATTATAACGAAAATTATATTCATTCAGACATCTATAAAACGCAAAATAATTGAGCAAAGAATATCCTTTTCGATAATTTCCTCTTCTGGCTCTACAATTACATACACATGTTTATGCATATAGAATATTCTAGATTAGTAGTCAATAACAATATTAGTGTTTTTTAAATAATATCAATTTGTTAAGTAAGATCATAATGGAATTACAGTTCATTAAAGATGCTTAAATTATAATAATAATAATAAAGATATAATAGCAAATAGAATACCAACTAAAATTAGGATAATTCCACAAAAATTGAGGATCATTCAAACCTAGATGGCCAAGGGAAGGATAATGTCTGAAGCAGCTTTTTTTGGACACATAAATTAGGCTTCTTAATGTGGATCCCAACAGCCAGCCTCAGCAATATTTAGTAAGCGAACTCTTAAGGCAAAGTTAAGATTTGTTGGTATGCAGTATATGACTCTGAAAGCCTGGTTAACATCATTCTTGTGTTTTCTGCATCCATAAGATGAGATAGAATAACGCTAGGAATAGATTTACTTTAACCTTTACTTAACTGTGCAGGGTGATGTTCGGAAATCTGACGAGAAACACGCCTAATTGTACGGCCTATGTGACTGGCTCACTCCACAGGAGCAGTTAAATTGGTAGATACACATGGAAGAGGCGAAATTAGGCAGTTTGTCTTTCACTCCCGAACGCAAAACAGGGATTGTTTTAAAGACACAGTATAATTCAGCAGCATGGAATACTCTTTTTTACCTCATTTCTAAGGCATTGTGTTAGTATCTCGTTGATGTTGTCCCTGAGGAACTGCATTTGTAAGAATAAGGACTTATTAGGAACTGTTGGTACCTTGGGCTGCTTCAATTTTAGATTGATATCATAATCAATAAAATTTTCTGGATAACCATTTTCGCTCAGCAACCATTTAGTATTATTAAGTTCCTCATCAAGAGGATGGAGCTCCCACAAATTACACTGTTTAGTGGTCGCGCTTGATCATGAATTGGTAGAAGTTAGAATTTATGGGCTAGCCACTGAATCCGGCCCCAGTGGCTGGATGGTAGACGAGCTAGCTTGCGTTGTAACTTGAAGGTCCTGGTTTCGAATCCCAGTGGGTGTGTACTGCCGACGATTCCAAAACTAGGCTGGCGAAACAGCTGGCGGTAAATTACTCCTTGGTTTTCAATATATAAATCGAACGCATTCAAAACCAGTCTTGAAGAGTCTCACAGATATGAAGCACACTTGGTAAGGGGAGTTACACATATTTACCCAGCTTAAAACCCATAATGTAAGTTCACTATGACCCCAGTGATTTCCAAGACCAAAAATGAACAAATAACAGAAACAAACGTTTTTTTTCTGAGATATACTACTTACCAAAAGATTAGAATGGACGACCAACAGATTAATATATCACAAAGCAACATAAACAAGATGGTTTATCAACTTCTAGAGCTTCGTCCCACTGATCAAAAAGCAAAACTTATTATTTACATCATGCTCAAGGATTAGAAAAATCTTTTTGGAAAGCACGATAGCGAAAGAAATACATTTATTACGTGAAACCCTACTAGAGAACGGTCACCCACCAAGATTCATAGACAAAAACATGAAAGACAAGCCTCAGTCGCCAAAAATTATAAATGTTCTTAAGAAAACTCTCTTCATGATCCTGATGGTGATATCTTGGTAGAAATGCTGAGAAACCGCGTTTCAAAATGGCTGAAAGAGACATTACAAGCAGCCACCCTATGCATCACATTCTCCAGCAAACAGTTGATCCAGTCTAACGTTAAGGATAAGATACTACCTTTGGCCACCTCAGTGTGCATTTATCAACCTACTTCTTCGTGTGGAGCAAAGTATATTGGCCGTACGCAAAGTCAAGTCCACAGATCTATTCTGGAGCATCGTTCAGCTTGCAAAGTCAGAGGAGAAAAGAAGAATATTAGCAGCTCCATCCTCGAACACCTCCTTGTCAGCTCCAGACATCGACAACCCCCCCTCATTAGGGATAAAGAGCTACATAGAGTTCCTCAATATCACATGAAAAGAATTCAAATACGCCATCTACAAATAGCTGAATCACAGGCTATTCGGGATCTGAAACTGTATCTTTGTGTTCCCAAGTATTACATACATTCACTTGCCCTAAGGTGACTAGATTAACGTCAGTGGCACAGTGGTTAGGAATCTCGTCGACCATACATATGGTCTGGGGTTCGATCCCCTGCCGAAGCACACCTGATATCTATGGTCGGCCTGCAAAATTTGGGCTATCGATATCAAATGCTGAAAATTCTATATCCGTATCAAAAAATATGGTGTGGAATCAAGCTGTAATCAGAAAAAATATAATGCCGCCTCATTTTATTACACGAGTTTACTGTTATTGTTATTATTCTCATCATGCTTATTTTATTATCACTCTATTACTGACAACATTGTATTTGAACACAGATTTTATGAAAACACTCTATTGTTTTTCCACTCTACACACTTATATTGATTAGTCATTTTCTTTAAACTTACTGCGTCATCCTAACTCCCTCTTTCTTTTCCAAATTTCCAATTAGTCATTCCCTTCTAGATTACATCTTACATCATGTAACATATTTTCAAGGACAAATTTCACCAGTATCTTATTGGTCTTAGGAGTTCTTTTTAGTATTCCTTTATGTCCTCAGTGGAACATAGAGCTGGTCTCTTGCCCAACCTTTCCTCTTTACCAGTCAGATTATTGGCTTAGTGAGGTATGTGAATGCGTCTGTGGCCGTATATCGAACCCCAGACCACATGAGGCATGGTTGGCGAAGATTCTACTGCTGCGCCACCGACGCGGCTTACAGCTCATGAAAATGAATCATCGGAAAGAACATTTTCTTCGCTGTTTACGTCTTTTTCTTATGACTCAATATAGGAATATTCCCTGGAAATTGAACGAACAACACCTGATACCCGTTGCACATGATGTGGCTGTCATAGCCCACTGGTCTAATGGATAGCACTTTGACATTTGAAGTCATGGGTGCTGGTCTCAAGTCTCAGTCTGAACACTATCACTCACTGAAGATGAAGGTAAATTCAACTGGACGAAATATCTGTTCCCCAATTGAAATTCTAGTCACCATCAACCGAAGGATATTATGTTTAGTGCTAGACATTTTTTGAATTATGCTTAATCGGAGCAACATATCAGTGGAGACAGAGTATCGCCAACCTATGTAAATCAGAAAAGTGGGGAAATTCAAATTCACTAACTAAAGAATAACATTCAGGCAGTGTATTGATCAGAAATACTGACATAATCAAGGCTGGTAGAATTACAGAAAAATCAGTTCACTGAAATATTGATTAGGGAGAAGAATACATCGCAAAAATAGTCTATAGATGAGGATTTTTGACATTCTGAATAACGTAAGCATGTCAGAAAAGAGGAATTAAGAATTTTTATTAGCCCGAAAATGACAAGCCGAGTAGAAGTTACAGCATAAGGACAGAAAGGAGCAGAGGAAAAAATGACGCACAATGAATGTGATGTAACCTTATGTCAAATAGGATAAAATTGGTACATTTGTGATCGAAAGACAAGCATATAGATGTATTTATATATATTCTTCCAAGGATATATAGATTCTCTTCGACTGTATTTTAAAACGTTTGAAAAAACGCCATGATTATTTATGTTCCAAAGGTCTGTACCACTTCTACTATTAATACTTAGTATGACTATTTTTCTTTCAGACATATGCTTCTGCTGCGTATTTCTATTTCTACTCATTATCTTTGCTGGATAGTTAGTTATTTACAAGGAGTTTAGCTGGAATTTATCCCTACCAATCTATTCCATCTGCATTGCTTTCGCGTTCTGAGTAGAACAAATTGGTTCAAGCACTTCTGAAGTTGCACTTCACTAGGCGAGGATATGGAGTGCGCCGGCTGGAAATCGACACATTGATTTTCCATCTATATGGTAAGCATTGTACGATTGGACCGGCGATAAACACCACTCGATTCCTAGTATGTAATCCGAATTTACATTAACTTTCTAAACAACAGTAATGGAGAGAATTTGGAGAATGTCCGGGATAATTTTTGACAGGTGTCATCCTGCAATCCGTTTCACATTAAAGGGAGGGAGTCTGCCAGAAAAATATCTTTTCTGGACGTTCAGTTAACAAGACGTGAACAATATGGAACATCAAATACATCAGTCCACAGAAAATGGACAAGTCATCAGCTTTCACAGTTGGGTGCCTCTATATATAAAACGAAACGTGGTCTGTTCACTCAGCCCCAGAATCCGCGGCATTATCCGTCCTGACACTATGAAAGATCAGGTGAACACTCTGAATAGAAACCTCCTTAAAAATGGCTTACCAGGAAGTCTCATCAAAAATCCATGAAGCCGAGCCTCCTAAATTCGCTCATACTTCCTACTGCAAAATAACTTCTCCACCTCAATCTGCAATTCAACGGAGAAACCAGCTGTCGCGCTCATTGAAGAAAACCTTCTTCGTGGTTGAACTTCGACTAACCTTCCCCACGAAACCAATCATTCGTATAAATTCGAACGATAAGCTACCACTGTCGACTGACCATATCGCTAAGTATCTATCAATTCACCTGTTTGTATAGAGCCAAACATTTTTGCTATACAATTGTATCACTGGGTACTTGCGCTTATAGTTTTATAAAGGAGAAAACAGTTCCCCACCACAGCTCTTTCCTGGAACACATAACCGAATCTAGACACCAAACTAAACCAAAATACTAATTCAAGGCTATCTAGAGAATAGACGGGTATCTCGCTGAAAGAGTAAGAAACTAACCTCTTCAAGTCTCAGAAACAGTGGCAATTCACATGTTTAATCC